TCTTGGTTTTCATACCGCGGCCGCTATTCGCCCGCGGGAGTTATTAACCAAACAAAAAGAAAACAAAAGCAAAAAGAAAGAAAAACCCTTCCTATCCGCGCCCGTACGTCGGGTCTTCCGCGGGATTTTTCCCCAGCGATACGGCAAGCCGCGTGGTACGGATCTGAGCTTATCACATGCATGCCTACATCATCACTCTTGTCTGTCCCAAGGGGTGTACCTTTGCCGCGTGGGAAAATAGCGGGCCTCGGGTAGGCGTCCGACCTTTTCAGAGGCCGAAACGAAATGATGGCCGTCGATCAGATTTATCAATGGCAGTCGTCGTCGGGCCCAACCTCCGAATATTCAGGAGTTTGGGAAAACTGTCAGTTTCCCTATTTTCCCACGCGGGAAAGGTACTAGTGGTTTAAAAAAAAAAAAAAAAAAAAAAAAAGTTTCCTGTACTAGATACCCAGCTGCTTTCATAGTTCTCTGGTGACTTAAGTCCCTGAAGACCCCTCCAGTGCTGTCAGCCACTGTCTGGGTGCCAGATTCCGCTTTAACTTTGTGTATCCTGACCATTGCACTTCTTCTTCGTCTTCTTCTTTCAACAACAAAAAAAAAAGAAGCCCTTTTTCGCAAGGCTTTCCTCCCCGTGGTGGTGAGGGGACCACGGGGATCGAAGCCTTGGCTATCGGCCCACTCCATCTAGGTAGTGGGGAGAGGCACCTGCTGGAAACCGGGTCGAACATCCCTTGCGTGTAACATTACAACTCACACATCTCTCTGTGGTGATCAATCCAGATTTTCTTGAACTCTATATGATTTTTTTTTTCTTTCCATTCATTACCAAATATAAGGTGTTTTTTTTTCTTTTTTCTTTTTTTTTTTTTTTGGTAAGATGTTGTTTTGCTAATCAGGAGCATTGTTTTTCCAAGTTCCAGTTTATCTTTTCATATCACTCCAGTTACTTTCAGGGTGCTGTATCTGATGGTGCTTTCAATTTCTGTTTTGGCTTGAGGGAAGGTACAGCTGTATTGTGGTCAGTCAGACAAGTCACAAGTTTTGTCAGAGAACTCAGAAATCTACATGGGCTTGGCTGCATTACTCACCAAATGCGCAAATGAGAGTGAATCTTCCACTAGAACATGGGAAGATACACCGCCATGTGTTTTGTCTTTTGTGCATGTGGAGAGTAGTGGAGCGAGGCCAAGAGAGAGGGATAGAGAGGGAGAGGAGAGGAAAGGGAACACATTGTACTATCATTCTGTTGACAAAGCATATTATTATTTTCAAATTTTCTTAAGAAAAGAAAGTATATTATTGTCTGAAAGCCCGTACGAGTTCCCGTCATTCTAGTCTGGTGCATTTAGGGCTCAGCAGTGTTGGGTCCACAGTGGCGTCGGGTCCGAACACGGCACCCGGGACCCAGTGGCAAACTGACTAGGTTCATGCTAACCTACCGCAAGCATAGCACAAACACAGCATGAACATAGCATGAACATAGCATGGACATCACAAAACATAGCATGAAAATAGCATAGACAGAGAATGGACAGAGCACAAACATAGCATGGACAGAGCATGGACAGAGCACAAACATAGCATGAACATAGCATGGACATAGCACAAACACAGCACCAACACAGCATGAACATAGCATGGACATAGCATGGGCATAGCATGAACATAGCATCGACATAGCATGGATATGGAGCACAAACATAGCACAGGTAATATGCCTGGATTCTGAAGGGTGTTTCCAGATAGATTTATCAATCATATCAGACAAACTCCTGTGTCAGCCAAAGCTCTCATGGCAGAGTTATTGAGGTAGGGCAAAATTGAAAAATTACAGAAATCCTTAGGGACATCCGTTCAAAAAGAGAACATTAGCATGGCCCCTGCGCAAAGAGGACATCATTGACATGCATAAGAAAAAAAAGGAAAACGAAAAAAGACTACAGACATACGTCTCATTGGTGTTGCAGTGCCCATGCCCCTGTCAGAATATACCTCAATGTGCCCCAATTCAGATGCATGCTGATCTGTCCGAGTGTTCAGGATAGCCAGGTACATTCTGACAGGCCCATACAGATGTTAGCAGACTCTGACAGGGGCCTGAAAAGCATTCTCTCCCTCAACATTACGCCTCACAGTTAATATATATCGTCATATAAAATCCCCCCGCTTCAAAAAAAAAAAAACAGAATTTAGTACAAGGCTCATCCTTCCTTAATAGAAAAAGTGACCTGACAATAATCCAAACAGCCACTTCTTTTTTTTTTTTTTTTTTGGAGAACACTGGAAACGTTTCATTACACAACCAAAGGAACCGGGGCCGGGAAACCCCACAATATCCCGTGAAAAGTTGAGCCTTAGCCCAACACGGAGAGCACAACCTGGAAACCGGGTCCAGGGTCCCATTTGGTAACCAAGGTTCCCCAAAATAGAAAAAAAGGACCCAGGGGCCTGGACCCACTAGCAAGGTATTCTACCCGCCGTTCAGGATTTAGATCACGTTTGGCATCGAGTGACTCAGTACAGCCGTCGAATAGATCGGATCTCGACGGCCTGGTAGTTTCCGAGCGGGGACTGTAAAGATGCCCACCTCCCGTCCAATGAGATGCGTCGAAAGAAAAAAAAAAAAACGAAGTTGGACTAACTTGGACATGATAGCTCATGGCTTTGCGTCGGCGGGAAGTCAGGATTTTATGGGCTTTAAAGGGGGGGGGTTGATTTCCAGACTTTGTTTTTTTTTTTTTTTGGCTCTGAGAAATAGAACTTGAAATGTGAAATTCGAATATTGTGGTGCATCTGACAGGAACGCTTCCGCGTCTGTTGGATGGCCTGCTAAAGGCATCATGAGATACATCGCAAGGAATGTATCCCAATACCAGTTACTTGTTCATCCTCGTGAATGTGTTCGTGGACACATTTTATTGCCACGGTACATCACTACGAAGACTTACGTGAAGGAGATCGTACCAACCCATGAATTCGGGTGCACAGCTGTTCTTCATAGTTTTAGGTGCTATTTCAATTCATTTTAAATCAGAAAACGATCCATTCATGCAAATAAAAAATCACTTTGTATTTTCCAAAAAACCATAAAACTGTGTCACACGTCGTAGAATACTTCGCTAGTGGGTCCAGGCCCCAGGCACTGAGCATTAAGAGCATCCTTTTTTTTTTTCTTTTTTTTTTTTTTGTCCAAACTTGGTTAAAAAGGACTCTAGGGGGGAAGCTAAAACGCTCCCCATGTCCTAATGGGGACAACAACCACGGACAGAATTGGAGTCTATCTCTAGAGTCAAGTTTAACCAAGGACTCTCTGCTCAATGCCATTCAGGGGGACCAACGGCATATCTCTAGGTGGCGTGACGTTCATAGGGGGAGGGGACCGGAGGGGAGGCACAGTGACTGCCCCATCGAAGAAGCTCGGTCCTGATGCTACCGGCTGACCCCTGGCCGGTATCGCCCACCTGCTGTAGCAGGTATCGCACCTGCTGGTGGGTGCAGCTCCCGCATGTTCCCTCGTTGGAGGCTTGAGCATGGATGTGGCTGCTACGGGGTTCCCCGTAATACTATAATGACAATAAAAAAGGCCTGAAAGGCCGTCCTGTCCAGATTTGACAGGTAATTGAATTGGTTGGGCTTAAAGAATTAGCCTTCAAAAAAAAAAAAAGTTTAACCAAGGAGGAGTTCCTCCCCCACGTATCCCAAAACCATTTCCTTGAGTGCCTGGAACCTTTCTCCTCGTGCAGTCACTAGTTATAACCAGTCTGATTTGTTGAGGTACCGTAGCGTTGATTTGGAAATCCGATGTCCCTGTGGATCGAAACAGCTGGTTATTGTGATTATCCCAAATGACTTTCATCAAAACAGCTCTAACACACTTCTGTCATATGTGGTGTTCTTTTTTCTTTTTCTTTTTTTTCTTTTTTGGGAAAAAGCAAGAACTCCATTAAAGCCAACTGTTGAGGCCGGGAATCCTCACAAACAACCCGGAGCGACACAAGACTGGACCGCTGGGAAACCCAGCACTTGTTCAGTGAGCACTTGGCTCAACAACTCCTATAGAACAAACACGTCAAAAAAACATACCAAGACCACACTCATGCATTTCTTTTAACCAGTTTTCCATTATCTGTAAAAAACATACCAAAACCAGCCAATCAAACCACTCAGTCCTTCCTGACTCAGTTACCCTACATACGAAGGCAAATTATTGCTACTTGTTATCCTACCGCTCTCGAATAGCACTGAGTGAAGCTATTCCTACAGATAACCAATCCCCTCTCACAAACCTCTCAGACCGCCTATGCGGCGGTTGGAACCTACCGTGGTTCCACTACCTCCTAGGCACTCTCGAACCCCCATCTCCCCTGCCTCCTACTGCGGAGCTGAACCGAGTGCCCTGGTATAACTAACTCACTAACCAATCCACGAACTGCACACCCTTCTCCCCTCTTACTGACACTAATTTACCCCCCTGCGCCCATGTTTCCTGAAACCAAAGGAGCCCAGTTACCCCGCTACTGTTTCTCCTGACCTTCCGTCTCCAGTCGGCCGAAATGATCCTTCTGATCAGTCCTTTGAAAGTGGCCTTAATGTCCGGGTCTGGCATGATTCGACTCTCGAAAAGGGACCTGTTCCTCTCCTTCCAAATTACCCAGAAGCCAACCGCGCGGATTGCTTGGGCCACGTAGCCCCAACCCTTCGACAGCGGAAGGTCCTCCGGGACCCCTCCCAGTAGGACCCAGTCCCTGTTCCATTCTAAGACCTCTCCGGTCCACTCCTTCCACTGTCTGGCCCACCATTCCCAGATCCGTCTGGACGCAGGACAATCCCACCAAATATGGGTTGTGGACTCAAAAGCCCATCGACATCTCTTACACTGTGTGTCCACCTTCAGACCACGACTTAGCAGAGATACAGCTGACGGGGTCGCCAACAAGGAGGCCAGCCACAGCAGGGCCGCAGCTCTCGGATATGGAGCCTCCACCAGCTGTTCCCAACACCTTTGCAGAGCTTTACTAATCCCTTCAGTGTCCTCCGAGTGGACACGGGTCCATCTTTCAACCGCAACCATCAGCGGAGATCGAGCTGGGGCCTGGACGTCATATGCTAACTGGAGTGAAAAGTCATCTAGACGAGCAGTTTCCCCATGGACACCCCTCCCTCTCCACCACCTCCCTTACTCTTATCTCCTTCACTGCTCCCCGTGGGAACCGAATGAGTTCCTCCCCATCTTCACATACCTCAAGGTTCCCATCTCTACCCTCGTGTCTCCACTGTTGGAATTTAACTCCTCCCTCCGTCGGCGCTACCACCATCTTAAGGAACAGTTGCTCCGAGTCCTGAGCCTGCATTGAGTACCAGGTACCAGGCGGGTTGTCCTGCAGTGGGGACAAGATCCCCAGCCATTCCGCCGGGAGGGCGTCTATCGCCTGCTGTTTCCGAGCTCTGACAAACTTGGACGGTTTTAACATTTCCTGCAGCACCGCATCTGAGCACCAGGTCCCTGTAATATCATCCCACATGTCTCTCAGTCTGACAACTCCCCGTTCCACCCAGCTCCTCCCAAAACTCCCTGGCGCACGATCTGCCATCAGCATCCTGCCATTACCGTCCTTGACGCATGGGTTTTCGAAGATGATCTGTGAGAGCACCTCCTCCTTGGTTTTCGGCATGCACAGCACATCCGGCTTCACCTTCCTCCAGGCTTGAAGCACAGCTGACCAGAACTCCGACTTCACTTTTTTCCTCAGAAAAGAGTCAATCCACACACACGCCCAAACATCTGTTGGGCGAGATAGATTCCATTCTCTACTTAATATGCGTTCCCCCAACAGTGTCCAATGCTTGTCCTTATCTAAACAGATTGCTCTAACCACCCACCTTGCCAGCATGGCTGTGTTTCTCCTGCCTGGGTCTGTCAACCCCAGGCCCCCATCCTTCCTTGGGGCACAGACCAACTCCCAGGCTACCTTAGACAGCACCGCTTCGCCTTCTTCTGCGAAAGGCTTCCAGATGAATCTGGAAGCTTTCCGCTTAACCACTGCCTGGGTTTTTTTCCCCAAGGGCCTGACATTGCCCACAAACGTGAGGAGGGCAAATAACGCCACGTTTACCACGAGCGCCCGGCCGAAGAGAGAGAGATGCAGGGCTCTTCCCCATGCCGACATTCTCTGGATTACCCTGGACTGCAATATCTCCTCTTGCTTCATGGCACACGAGGTGAGCGCCACCTGAACTCCAAGAAATCTCTCAGATTCAGTGTCACAGATCCTTTTCATACCGCATTCCACCGCTGGAACAAAATTTTTCGGCAGGAAAAAAACCGACTTCGACCAATTTATGGCCGCTTCAGAGAGGGATTCGTATTGTCTCAGACACTCTCTCAGGGCTGACATTGACTCGGCAGTGTTTGTTGTTACAGCAAACAAGTCGTCAGCCAAGGCTTTTACCTTGCAAACTCTCTGGCCTAGATCTAGACCTACCACCCGACTCTGCGCCCGGATGTTATTTAAAGGCACCTCCAAGTGAATCACGAACAAAAGCGGCGCCAACGGGCAGCCCTGCCGAAGGGAGCGTGACAGTTTAAATGGCCTGGAGATGTGACCATTCACCATAGCTGAAGCAGTAGACAGGGAGTAAAGAGCAACCACCCAATTACAAAACAGGTCCCCGAACCCAACCCATTTCAGCGTAGAAAGCACATATGTCCAGTTAACTCGATCGTACGCCTTCTCCATATCGAGAAGGAGTACCGCAACATCCAAATTCTCTCTGCTCACCACTTCCAAGGATTCCACAACTGTCACGATATTCTCAAAGATTGACCGCCCTTTCACAAAGGCTGCCTGATCGTCCATCACAAGGTCCGGGAGGTATCTGCTCAGCCTTCTTGCCAGTACTTTGGCGAGCACCTTGTACGACACATTCAGCAATGATATCGGCCGCCAGTTCCTGATTTCGTTGGTGTCCCCTTTTTTAAACAGCAGCGAGATGATCCCTCTGCATGTGCTTGCTGGGAGATGACCCCTCATCTGAATCTCGTTGTAGACATCCACCAGGTCATTACCCAGAAAGTTCTAGTGTTGTCTGTAGAACTCCACTGGCAGACCGTCGTTCCCGGGTGTTTTGCCGCTCGCCATCTCCTTCAACGCTTCCTCAGCTTCCACAGAAGTAATCGGACGGTCGAGATCCAACCGTGCCTATGTCGACAGTCTCACTTCCGTGTTATCCCAATGGTTTGAGTTAACTGTCAGGTTCATGTCCGGGCCCTCCCCTGGTCTCCTCGAGGTTAAGATGTCCCGGTAGTACAGGACTGCGTAATTACACAGTTCCACTGGACCGGTTGCCACAGGCTCCTCCCCTTCAAATGGATGCTTTAGTTCTTTCATCACTGGGGCTAGCCGAGCGGGGACCAACTTCTGAAAGGATTCTCGTGATGTACGGTCATATACTTCAATGCCCCTCACTTTTAATCTCTCCGCCCACTGTTCTGCTCTTTCCTGCTGCAAGTCCTGCCACTCCCCCATTCTGCGTAATCTCTCCTTCCCCCACGTGACCTCCGAGATAGGATGACATTTCATTCTTTCTTCTGCATCCTGAACTCTCCTTCGACACCGTTTTTCCTCCTTATTCCTTTGTAGGGCCAGAATTCTAGAGAAGACGCTCAATAAGTTAGAGAGAATCCTAGATCCTCCTTCCCACCAATCTGCAACTGATGCAAAATTCCCCTTCTGTTTTCCCCATCGAGCCCAAAAGTCCTTAGTCCACTGATTTAGCCCCTCAGACTTCAGGTTGACAGTGTTCAGCTTAAAGTACCCTCTTCCTCTCATGTCCTCCCGGTCCAGCTTAAATACACCGATCACCTCCTTGTGATTCGAAGCCGTATGATTAACAACAGACAACTTGATTAGACTGTCTTTGACTCTGCCCGACGTTAGTAAATAATCCAACCTCCTTCCTCTTCCCTTGTGTGAAAACCATGTGTAACCCCGCTCCACTGGGTGTAAAACCCTGAACGAGTCATGAAGCTCCAAGTCTGTTCTTTAAATCCACTAAGGCCAGCGTGTCCCTAGGACAGCCCCCGGCTTGTTGAGACAGGGCTGCGTCGAGGGATGTATTCAGGTCGCCTGCAATTACAATATCGTCCACATTAGGCAACACTACCCCCAATTCTCCAAAAAAGGCTACACGTTCCTTCCTATCAACCGGCGCATACACTGAGACAACAACCCAGGTAAGGTCCCTGTGTTTGAAGACCACCCAGGCCCACCTACCCCAGAGGTCCGCATGAAAGTCCACAATTTCTGGAGCAAGTTCCCTGTGCACCAAGATTCCTACTCCACCCTTAGTTCCTTGTGCCGCAGACCAAATCTGCGGACCATCCCACCATCGCCCAAGCGCCAGGATTTTATCATCGTTCAGTTTGGTCTCTTGGAGGCATGCCACCGTGATTCTGTTCTCGTGTAGCCACGCCTTAACACGCTGTCTCTTACTTCTACCCGTGGTATCACCAAGCCCCTGAACGTTCCAAGATACAACCTTATAGTTACCCATTCCTGCTACCGCTTCCCTGTCGAGATTGGATCCGGGATCTCGCTTCTTCTCCTGCTGAACAATCCTGAGTCAGGGTTGTTCTTACGAAATTAGAATCCAACCTCTTATCTTTGGGAAGGCGGATTCTTAGCTCCGCGATTGCGTCCGCAGTGATCATCAGCGGAGAAATCACAAATCGGGAGAGTTACTGCTTTTTACATTCAGAAAACACCGCCATCGGAACCAATCTCATCCCCAACCCTTCCAACTCTACAAAATTTTTCTCCGTCAAATGCGCGTCCACAATTGGAATGAAGGACTTAACCCGGGCACCTGCTGGGCCAAACAAGACTCTGGACATCGGAATATCCGGAATCAATCTGGCCGGAAATGCGTTTAAATACACAGTCCTTAAGCATTCCTCAATGCTCGACGACGTTGGGGGCTCCGTCACTATCTGCGAAAAAAAGGACAATGGACCTATGGTTTTCTGCCACGCTATAACCCAAAATGAATTCCGAAAAAAGGTGCAGAGTAAGGGCAACAATTATTGAGCCATGTCAACCCCTAGATCCCGCGAAGCGGCTAACCTCTTATCTCGAGTAGTCTTGTTTCCTGGCGTCACGGCTCCCGCTTCCTGACTGACCGAATTACCTGAATCCTCCCTCGAAACTCGCGAGCTTCTTGATGGTTCCGGTGTAACTTCTGGTAGAGAGGTCAGACTGAGCCTCCGTTGCTTACCTGTCGGTCTTCCCCTCGCTCTTCCTGGCGTGCCCTCTGAACCTCGCTCCCTCTCCTCACCACCAGCTCCGGCTGAATTTCCTAACCCCGACGGCACAGGGTTGTTCACGTTCCTTCCTTCCGCAGATGAGCCCGCTGCTCCAGGTGTCGGAACTCCCGAGGCTCCTTGCTGCTGGAGGAAACCTGGGTTCCCTACTTGCCCTCCCATGCCTCCCGCTCCCAGGCCCCCTTGACTGCCCTGAAGACCCATTGCCCAACCTGACCACAGGGCTGGGTTAAAGCCGCTGGTCATCAGCCAATCAGACGAAATTGCACCACCCTGCCAGCAGTTGCCTTGAAGGTCTGTACCTTGCGCTGGGGGCATTCCATATGTAAAGAGGCTTGGCCCTCCTCCCATGGGGGCTTGGTTACCCATCATGGGGACGCCCATGTGGGCCATCGACACAGCATTCCTTCCCTGCGGTGAAAAAATCGGGTTCAAACGTGTCGTTCCTCCATGACTGGCCGCTCCAGAAGGAGCTGGAGTTTCTTGGCATGGGCCCATCGTACCTTGATAACCCCCAGGGGTTTGACCTCCACCTTGACCGCTGACCGCTGGTCCCGGGTGGGAGTTCTGTCTTTGGTTACTTGAGGTTGCGCCTGCCACTGCTCGAGTTCTTTGGCTTCCTCCTCGCCTGCATTCATCCTCTGTATGAAAGAACTGTCGACATTTCCTGCACTTCGGTGTTCCAGCGGTGGCCAGCCGGACCTCCAAAGTGTCTCCCTTGGGCGTCTCGATCCACAGTATATCCTTCATATTCTGCCTCGCCTCCGGATCCAAATCGAACCGTGCGTTGACGAGTGGAGGTCTATTTGGATCTGCATCTGCCGGATGAGCTAGCACGATTTTGCCTATCGCTTTTTCAATCTGAGCATAGATAAAAGGCATATCGTCAAGCGGGATTTGCAGCGCAATTACCCAGAAGGTACTTTTGTCCTCCTGCCTTCTCAGGTCCCTGAACTCCGCCCGCGTCATCCAAGGTTTAAACAGAATCCTATACGTTTCTCCTCCTAATGTTATCTCCACGTGCCCCTCAGCTATCATGAAAGCCGCCACTTCCCTTGCCTTAGCTACGTACGAAGCTACACCTGGCCCCTCTATTTTCACCCTCCCACGCCTTGAATTCTCTGTCAAATTCTCGTTGCCAATGACCCAACCGTCCTCAAACGCTCTAACTAGATCATCTTTGACATTCTTCGGGAGAAATCTCGCCGCCTCTTTGAAGATCACCGTGACGGTTCTCTCTTTCAGCCATTTAACTTTGATATCATCCAGCGAGGTATTTAGCCTAAAGCGTGCCTCTCTCCCCTCCACCACCATCTCACCTGGATCCAAATCCGTGGGATATATCCCATCGTCAGAGCACATGGCCATGAGCTCCCGTATCCGGTCTTCATCTTCCCAGTAGTCCCGTTCCTCTTGGGGCGCCACCGGGGGCGATCTTCCAGTTCCTTCCGTACCTGGAGTTGTCATCGTCCGCCCTCACGCCGTCGTACGTACGTGTCTCTATTTTTCTCCCCTCCCCGCTTTCAATTCCCCCGTTCGTATTTCTCCTTCGTTAATTGCCTGACTGAGAGCCTGGGTATCTGGATAACGGAACACTCGAAGTTGGTTCTCTTGTACACAGGAACCCTGGCTGGCTGCGGGCGCTTCCTCCACCTGTCCACTACGCCTACGGCTAACCTGGCGCCATAGTCACACTGTAAGAAGGGTGCATGGTGAGTGGACTCCCGGGCGATATCTTGCTGGTAGCGCCCTGGATGGCAGCTCGGGTTCTGCCGAACCCGGCAAAGCTTGACAGAGCGCGTTGCGCCGGTCAGAGCAAGGCCGCGCCCGCCCATTTTTGTTTTCCTTTCCCTCTGATGTGTTTTTTTTTGTTTGTTTGTTTTTTTTGTTTTATTTCTGTTGTATGAATCTCTGTGGTGTGCTGCATTCTATTCCCCAAGAGGTTTGTAACAAAATCACACATTTCCGGTCACCTCTGACATGGCGGTTAACTGGGGCTGCAAAACAGAAGGGTGGTGGCTGCACCCCCAGGGGATAGGGGATAGCCTCCCCAGCGGACCCCACTATTGCCTGTAAACGGAGGAAAGAAGCGGGCCGGGTGTTAGGCGTTCGACTCACAGCACTGGGGCCCCCGAAACACCATGGAGCCACCCCGGTGGAAGAGGCCCTGGCAAGGTTGGCACAATGGAAAGGCCTCCACACCTCAGTTGTGGGCCGGGCCTTAGCATTAAACTCGGCAATATTTTCTACAATGTGGTACAAGGCTGCCTGTTGGCCTGTTCAGTCCAACACTTGCAGAAATTGAAAAAAGCAGCAGCAGGCTACATTTGGAAAAATGGCTACGAGGACCCATCTTTCATCTCCATGGTGGCTTGGAAATATATCGCCCAACCGCGGGCGCAAGGAGGTTTGGCGGTGCTGGAGCCCAAAGACCAGCTAAAGTCCCCTGTCCTTGCATGGGTAGCTTAATTAAAAAAAGGACCAACAATCAAGAAAGAAGACTGGGTAGCTCACTATTTGGACCTGCGATACCCGGCGATAGTCTGGAAGGTGAGGGAGGTATCAGCCAACGACGCCCATCTGGAGGCGTACGACATCGACATTAACCGCCTCGGGGTCAGGTGGTCCCAACTGACCCGTATTGAACATGAAGACTGAGCGGGGCTAATAAGAGTCCGGGTTCTGGAGGGAGGGGACCACACGCGCTTTGCTTTCGAGCCGTCCATGTCCATCAGTACGCTCTCCTTTGATCCGGGTGAGTGGGAGTGTCCACAGATAGGAGCAACTAAACCTCATAAGATGTGGCAATACACAGTCAAGCAAGGCTACAGGACAGTCCACAGCAAGTACCCTACGACCCAATTCATCCAAAATAGGTGGGCCCGGGACTCCATACTGCCTGCGGATGACTTCCAAAAAACTTAAATAGGGCATCTTACACCCACATTATGCCTACTGCACACAGAGCTCTACAATGGGAAATCATGTACTGGTGCCTTCCTACCCTGGAGTCGTTCAAGAATGGATCTGGAAAATGATGGCATCCTCTCACCTATCTGCAAATACTGCGGTAGGGCCTCTCCCTCAACCAGCAAGGGGCCAAGGGCCACATTGGAGCACTGCCTCCTGGGTTGCCCTACGGCCACCCAAATCTGGAGACGGTGGGACGCCGCATGGCGGGAGCTGACAGGTTCCCAGTTCCCATGGAACATGACCCTTCTACTCCTTGGCATACACATAGTTGACCCGCCAACATGGTCGCAGTATGAACGCAATATGTTTCAGATTACGAAGCTGGATATGCTAATGATAGCCTGGCGTGCATGCTGCTCCTTCGAACATGGACAGAACACCTTTGGCTTTCTGCAAGCCAAACAGCATATGGCGGACTACCGTCATGCCAAGACAAAAACAGCCTGGGATCAACTAAAGAAGTACAAACGACAAATTGAAGAGGACCAGTCCTCTCAGACAATGCCAAACAACAAAAAATAAGAGAAGCAACGACCCAGTTTGAGGGTGTCTGGATTGTACCCCTGAAGGCCCTTGCTGAGGTTCAGAACTCCCAGATTCTCTGGAAAACTGGAGTAAGGATGAACATAAATGGCAATATAAACACCTGTCTCACTTCACGGTGCCCTACTCATCTTCTCCCCCCTCCTTTATCCTGCTTCCCCAATGACCCCCTCACCCGGCCGTCCTCCGCTCCCCCTCCCTACCCCGTCCCGACCCCTGACCCCTGGATGAGACGAAATGTCTTGTTCTGCTAATTCTAGGCATCCCCCAGCGTGACAGTCGGCACATAGTGCTCAGCGAACCTGTGGAGAAGTGCCAAATTCATTAAACCACCAGTACTTGGGCGATACATCGGTCGCGGGCCTTACCCGTTAATGCGCCGCAGCCTTAGGCGGTCGGCCAAGGGAAGGTCCGGTCGTTGCTCAATGGCCGGGCCCTGGTTCCTTCGGCATGACACAACAGAAAAAGAACAAAGAAAGAAAAAACAAAAATCAAATACACAAAAATGAAAAAACAAAGAAAACCAAAGAAAAAAAATGAAGTCACGAGGGAGGGAGGGAGGGAGGGAGAGAGAGAGAGAGAGAGAGAGAGAGAGAGAGAGAGAGAGAGAGAGAGAGAGAGAGAGAGAGAGAGAGAG